TTGTCGTCCCGGCGGGAAAGCGGCGCTAGGGACGCCGGGACGCCGGGACGCCGGGCGGGGCGGGGCGTGCGGAAGGCCGCGCATGCGCCTCCAACGGCCTCCCGTCGCCGACACGTGACCCCAGAGACGTGACCCCGCCACCTCCATACGTGGCCCCAAACACGGAACCCTGGGCAGGCGAGCTTGAAGCAACCCAGCACGTGACCCTTAGGCACGTGATCCCGGACACATGGCTGGTGCCTGGGTTCTCCAGCCTCAGGGCAGACAGGGCACGACGCGCAGGGAGTGGACCCAGGCCGGCAAGTTGCGTAAGGAAATTGGCTGGAAGCCAGGACAGGGCGGGGAGCCCCGGTGTGGGACTCTGGAATGTGGTCTTGGTTCCCAGGGTTGCCCCCGGCTTTCTCTCCAAGTCGCCTTCCCTGTCAGTACGAGGGGGCCGCCGTGGGTCAGTTTCTTCGTGTCTTGTGCCGATGGCGTCCCCGTGGCATCATTCCTGTCCCGGCTTCATTCATTCTATCCAGAGCACGGGCTCTTAGTCCTGACCGCACAGTCAAGGGGAGGGGGCGGTTTGTTTGTTGTTTTAAACTGATGTTTGGGATTGGCCCTGACCATTCAATCAGAACCCCCAGGAGCGAGGCCCTGCTCCGTACTGACATCTCCGGGGTGATTCTGATGTGCAGGTTGAAAACTGCTGACGGATTCCAAAAGAGCGGTTCTCAAACTTCTGAGTTGCCATTCCCTCTTTTAAAAATTATTGGAGACATGCCGGGCTCGGTGGCTCAGCCTGTAATCCCGCGCCTTTGGGAGGCTGAGGTGAGAGGATTGCCTGAGCCCGTGGGTTCGAGACCCGCCTGGGCAGCGAGACCTCATCTCTACAATAAAATAAAAAAATCAGCCGGGCGTGGCAGCGCACGCCTGTAGTTCCGGCTACTCAGAAGGCTGAGGCAGAAGGATCGCCGGAGCCCAGCAGGTCGAGGCTGCGGTGGCCGGGAGCGGCCACTGCACTCCAGTCTGGGCGACCGAGTGAGACTCCAACTCAAAAAAAAAAAAAAACGAAACAAACAAACAAAAATTATTGGAGACACAATGTGGCATCTGTTTCTGCTGTGCACGAAGGTATTTGCCGTATCAGAAATTAAAAGTTTAGAACTTATTCAAAATAAATCCCTTACAGGATAACATAAATGACACCTTTAATACAAATACAATTTTCAAAACAAAAGTTTGAGAAAAACAGCATTCTTTCATATTTTCAAAACTCGAATATCCGGATTAATGGAAGGCAGCTGGATTCACCTTACCACTTCTGCTGTCTTTTCAGTATCATAGATGTGGAAAACTCCACTGTATACTCTGGGCAGAATGAACGTGAAAAAGTCTCATTACGTCTTGGCAACATTAAAGTTTTGACCTCATGGAGTTCTTGAGTCTGCACCACACAGCAGGGAACCCCAAACCACACTTTGAGATCTCATTTAGAGGCTGGTATCAGATTCAGGTTTAACTTCTTGTGGCAAGAATTCTCAGTAGAGATACATCTATTCTGCACATAACTTATCCTTCCTTTTTTCCACCTCCCTTTCTTCACTTAATAAATCCTGGAGAGTTTTCTAGATAGCATAGCATATTCCTGATTCCCCCTTACAGCTTGTTTGATGGTTTGTTTTGTTTTGTTTTATGCGCTAGGTCTCATGTTGTTGCCCAAGCTGGAGTGCACTGGCAGGATCATGGTTCACCACAACCTCAAACTCCTGGGTTCACTGATTCTCCCATCTCAGCCTCCTGAGTAGCTGGGACTATAGGCGCATGACACCACGCCTGGCTAACTTTTTGATTTTTTGTAGAGAAGGGGTCTTGCTATGTTGCCCAGGCTGGTCTTGAACTCCTGGGCTCAAGCAGTCCTCCTGCTTCTGCCTCCCAAAGTGCTGGGATTACAGGCATGAGCCACTGTGCCTGGCCTTGTTTGATGGTTTTTAATAAACAGAGAGCCCATCTTACCTTGGTAGGATCTGCAGAGCCTTGAAACACATCCATAAAGTACATGAGTTTTTGGAGTCTCACACTCTCACCCAGGCTGAGGGAAAAAAATACATGAGTTTTTAGCTTTTTATAAACTTCAGGTACTAATTTGTTACCTTAAGTGTGTTGTAAACCTTCTTAGATTACTTGTCACTAATAAAAAAACTATTAAGGCCAGGATTCTGGACCTGAGAATTTTGTCAGTATTTTGATCACCCCTCATAAATCAGCTGGCAAGTCCAACTGGTGACATAATTTGTGATTCTTCCTTTCTGTGGCAGCTTATTCAGCTCTTACCAGTTTCCCAACCTGAGTTTCTCTCTCCATTTTACATGCTGCTGCCAGATTAATTAATTGCATTAATCATTATTCCTAGGCTCTAAAACAATGTAAAACCTCCTCACTCGATTGACTTCAAAATCCTGTGTGAAACCCACTGTAAATTTAAGAAACAATTGGCTTGTTATTAGCAAAAATTGGAAAAATGAAATGTTTCCGTATCTTTTATGGAAATTGGAAGCACTAACAAGCATACAGGGAGGAATTTAAAGAGGAAATTACTTGAGTCACAGTCTAGGTAAGACTGTCTTTTTGAAGATGCTGGGAAAGGTAAAAGGAATCTTCTCTGGTCAAAGGGAACATAAGTATCTCTGAGCACAAAAAAGGAAATGCTTAGCTGCTCTCCAGGGAAACTTTTTCTTCATCCCCCCTGCCACTTGGACTTGACAGTTTGTGATATAGTCCTTTATGAGATAAGCTTATTTCTCACACTTATTCATTGATAGAAGTCTGGCAAAAGTGAAAGTACCAACCTAGAAATGTAGCTTTTTTTGAGTTGGAGTCTCACTGTCGCTCAGGATGGAGTGCAGTGGCACACTCACGGCCACCCCAGCATTGACCTGCTGGGCTCCAGTAATCCTTCTGCCTCAGCCTTCCAAGGAGCCAGAACTACAGGCACATGCTACCACGCCCAGCTAAGTTTTAGATTTTTATTGTAGAGACAAGGTCTCATCAAGTTGCCTGGGCTGGTCACGAACCCACAGGCTCAGGCAGTCCTCTCACCTCAGCCTCCCAAAGTGCTGGGATTACAGGCTGAGCCACTGAGCCCAGCCAGCTTCTTTATTAGTAAGAGCAGTGAAGTCAGGCGTAGTGGCTCACACCTGTAATCCCAGCACTGAGGGAAGCTGAGGTGGGAGGAACTGCTTGGGCAATGTAGAAAGACCCTGTCTCTTCTACAAAAAATGAATAAGTAAATAAATTAGCTGGGTGTGCCCTAGTCCTAGCTGGGTAGTTCCAGCTGCTTGGCAGCCTCAGATGGGAGAATCCTTTGAGCCTAGAGTTTGAGGCCACAGTGAACTATGATTGTGCCACTGCACTCCAGGTGGCCCGAGCAACAGAGACCTCTCTCTTAAAAAAATGTTAAAAAAAGAGCACTGAGTCAGCTCTTCAACTCAATAGACTGGAGCTGAAAATGTTTGATTTGCTGCATTTATTTTACTTACTGATTAGGGAAGGGAGAAATTCTAGTGATTTATGTCAGTATTAAAAGTACAGAGTCTCGGGACCTTTGTACCATCACTCTGCTCTCCTGAGAAATCAACATGCTGAGTTTCCTCTCTTTCTTCAGGTCTGGGGTCATCTCAGCAAGCTCTCCCTTGGCCACATTTTGTACCCTTCTTTCTTGCTTCACGATTTTCCTTCTTAGCATCTATCAACATGTTCTACTCATTTCTCTTTTCTGTGGTCTGCTCCTCCCATTAGGACATACACTCCATAAAGACAGCATTTTTCTCTTTTTTGGTCACTGCTGTAGCCTCTGCAACCAGATAGTGCTCTGTACAGGGCAGAAATTCAGTAAATATTTGTTGGATGAATGCATTAAAAGACAACACAACTGCAAACAAACCTCCAAACCATTTTTATTTAAAATTATCAATATAGTATAAAAATAACATTTAACTATACAGAATATAGAAATACAACTCTGCAAAATTAAATTATTCCATACAGTGTGGTATACAGATTAAAGTTTGAATAACATTAGAATAAAATATTTAAAATATCCAAAGCATAAATACTTGCTCTCAGAACTGTTTCTCGACGAGTGATTTTTCTCAGGTTCTTTCCAACATTTTGTATGTAGCAGCTGTGATTCAGCCGACTCCTTGGTTTTCAACCAATAGGAATTTAATCACAACAAATGGTGGTAGTAGTAGTAGCAGCCTTTTATAGCACATATGTGCCAGGCACTATCTAGAGAGAACTAACACATTCAGCAAATAATGCTCAAAGCAGACAAACCTAGTAAATTGGTCTCATCGTTCTGGCCATTTGTGTTAGAAACATAAAAAAGGAGGCACTGCGAATGACCTTACCATATGCAGTATCACCAACAGCAGTCCCTTGGCACAAATAACAGAGATTTCCTTGCTAGGTGTAATTCTTTGCCATGACAAACACAAACAAGAGCTAAAGAAAGGGAAGGGGTGAGGGAGAAAGTGAAAAGGGGATGGGGAGACGGGGGCGGGGGGAGAGAGTGTGTGTGTGAGAGCGAGAGGGAGAGACAGAAAAAAGGTAGAAAGTGTGAGAGTGAGAAAAAAGGGAGAAGGCAAGAGAGTCTAAAATGTAATTCTGAGGGCTAAAATACATGATATGAAGACAGTACTTGATATTTTAAAAAATGATAGTTATATATTGTTTTTCACATTAATTGTCTTTGTGGAGAGGAACAGCTGCAGGATACCAGCCAAATGCACCATAAGAACGTTTGTCCCTCCGCTGACGCACACCTCTGGGGGGGGGGTCTGCCCCGCCACCTGGCCCCTTTGCTTAATAAAGTGAGAGGCACTTTATTATCCCCAAATCAGATCGACCTACTTTCAGATGTGAATCTGAACATATTTGGAAACACAGGCAGCTGGGTTTACTCACAATGCTTACTCCAATATCCTTTTAGAGATGAGAAACAAGACAATGTTTGGTTTATTTCCTGGACACACACTGCCTCTGTCATGTGGAAACTGCAGCACACATCTACAACATAGCACGTGGTTTCCTTTTCTTAAGGTCAGCTGTTTGCTTTGCCTTTTCACTTGTTATTGAGTGATATTCTCATGATTCTTTGACACCAGGAAAGCAGTTCAACAGATCAAAATTTCCTTAAATGAAACCAAAAAAGTCCCCTATGATAAAATCTCCAGTCTTACTTCCATCTGTTTGAAAACCTGGGGTGATCAGTAGCCACATTTTTTGATAATTATTGGTATTAGAAATAGCTCACGACATTTTAAGGGACATAATCCAAAATTTAAGACACATAATAAATACTTTTAAACAAAGTGCCTTAATACATATATATGTGCACAAGCAGTCCTAAGACAGTAGTTAAGACTCTACCGTTTGACCCAATATTGCAATATTAGGGAAAGGATATCTGAAGCAATTTTCTACAATTCAAGAACCAAGTTTTCTTACCATAATTTGAATGCCAAAATTAAGGGCTACTGGTGACTAATGGGACAAATATGCAGCAGTTGCATCTGAAACGCCTAGGTGGAAATCTCTTAAATTAATGACAGTGATAACAGTGTTTGTTTCAAGACCAAATGACTCAGTGGTGCACCCACTGCATTTCACCTTTAGTCCTGACTGAGCTGGACAGCTCGTGTTTGAGGTGGGAAAACACAGGGACTGATTTTCGAATGCTGGTACAACTTGTCCTCCAGAGCTTAAGTCCTGAAGAAGAAACAGCACAGTATTATACAGTTTGGGGGCACTGAACCACCAGGAAGATCCACTGATTAAATGTCAATTAAAGATGCAGTATTTATGTTCTTCCTCTCAACCTACCATATTCTCACAACCAAAGAAAATTCTCATCCCATTGTTTTTCTCTTCCTACTAAAGGTTGAGTACATTATTGCTCACTCAAGTGTTCCCTCTATGGGAAAACCCAATGTATCAAGATCCATATTAGTGAGACAAAGATTAGTATTTTAACAGAAGTCACCATAGGATTTCTTTAGTCAACCTTTTCTGCATTTTTAACAAATCTGATTTGTTTTCAGAAAAAAGATTTATATACAACTTTCCTGAAATTAATGAACTGTATAAATTATGTATGTAGTACACCTGAATGTGTTTTAACAAAATGAAAAACAATGAAAGTTTAGACAAATAGTTTTAAAAATATATCCTAGTCAAAACAGAGCTTACCTGAAAGAGTAAAGAGTATCAAATAAATAAATAAGTTTAATCTTCAGCTTCCCCCACTTCCCCCTGCAGTGAGGTATGTACTAACATAGTTAAACTAATGAAAAGTATTTGATATGAGAAGGAATCAGTACTTAGACATTACCAACTTGCATACTGACCGATATGCGAGAGGGAAAAAAAGCACATTTTACTTAAGAGGGACTTTTGAAACCTCAAGTCAATCATCTCGTTTGTGCATGAAAACTCTGCATTCAGGTCTAAAGACTTCTCATAGTCACAGCACTAATTAAAGAATAATTATAGAAGCTGGTCAGTTTCACCCAATTTCATGATTCGCTCACCAGATAGCAACATTAATTTTGAGAAAAATGAAGGCGGGTATTTTTCCAAAATAAACATTTCCTATATTAATTTTATATAAAAACACTTCACATTTCACGCTAATCAATAAATTAACACTATATACCAAAAGAGCAATAAATTAACAATCCCTTCTTTCATATTTTGATCAAGTATCTTCTCAAAAGTCTCATGATATTAGACTGAGATTTAACGTATCAAACCCAAACAGCATTTCATCTCAATATTTAACATATTCAATACTGAAAGGTGAAAAGAAGCTCAACAGATCTCTTTGTATATCAGTTTCAGTGCTTTTAACGCTGTTTGATCTCTACACACATGCTTCTACGCATTGAGAAAACCCAGCTACAAGGTTAACCCAAAGAACAGTTTAAAAGCCATTTCAATGGCAATTTCGGTGACGGAGTCATGAAAACACACGTAGAGTTCTTGAGGTTTGGGATGAAGAAAGAGTCTCCTGCAGAAGAAAAGAACACACTCATTTTAGAAGTTAAAACAACAATGAAAAACCCTAACCCTTCAATTTGTTTTATTTTGTTTGTTTCTGAAAGAATCAGTAGTAAATTTTAAAAACCACTCATCTAAATCTACTGCAGGGGGAATGCAGCTAGATTTATTTCTAAATAAATAATATATACCTTAGGTCAATTATTTTTATTGTTTGAGAATATAAAAATCCCATTTTATCAAAATGTATTACCACTCAGTTTTAAACTATTCAACACAGTCACTATTACAACAAAACCAATAGCATTAACATCATTTCAAGCACGGTAATTGTTAAATATTTTATTGCCATTTACTTTCTAATATTTAATTTTCATTAAAACATTAAACTATTTCTTTTGCAGGTCACATCGAATTGGGGCTAGCATTGAAATTTTATTTGGTTTTCTTAAAAAGTTAAAATGTTAATCTGTTTAATCACTACTAACGTATATAAACTGAACTGCCAACCTTGGGGGATAGTCCTGCCTGACTTCCTGAGATTTCTCCTCTATACAGATCAGCACGTCATCACTCAGCCCCTTTTGCTTCTTTCCTTCCAATTGTTGTCAGCGTAGCTCAGGCTCCACTGCCACCTGCACATGCGCCTGACTGGTCTTCTCGTCTCTAGTCTCTCGGGCCCACACCACCTCACTGGCTGCTCCCTGCTTCACCGTCTAATAGCACAGCTCCGACCACACTACACGGAGTTAAGCTTATGCTGATGCTCCCACACCTAGCTGGTTACACATCATAGTCACACGAGAGCCAAACCGATGCCTACTCCCCTGATTCTGATTAAGTAGGTCTGGGTAGACCCAGGCATCTCTGATTGTAACAAGTGACTCAGATGATTCCAAATCCCATGCACCAGCACGTGTGGACTTCTGCTTCGGATGTTTGTGAGGTGTTTGTCACACAGCTCAATATTACATGACAAGTGTCCGGTACCTTCGTCCCACCTAAGTCTGTGCCCTTTCCTCTACCAACCTTTTACTTCAACTCGAAGGGTCTCAACACAGCTTCCTGGCATGAACTTGTACTTTGTCCCTCCTGGCAAGCCACTTTACTAACTGTCATGCCTATGATTTCCACCCTATCCGCCTTTCCTAGAATGGGCTATCCAAACCCACTTCATTGTCCAAACAGGATCACATGGAACCTCCAAGCCTTTCTTTTAACCCCTGCTTACATCGTCCCCTCCTCCGAATTTCCATAGCATTTGATGGTGCTACCTAATTCCTCTTACATATATATGCACACACATATATTTTTATATGTATAACCTTTCTAGTTATAGCTGCACAACAGACATTTATAAAGACCTGGCTACTTGGGCATATTTCCTCTTTCTTCTGCTAGTGCAAGACCTTTGGAGGCAGTGACTATGTCTCTGTGTCTGCCATCCCACCCACTGCCCACCCACCACCACATTTTGCCCAGCACAATCCTTTGATTAAGCCATCACATGTTTATTAAGCAACTGTTATGTGCCATGTGCTAGTGCAAGTACAGTGGGACAAAACAGATACAGTTCCTGACCTCCTGAAGCTCACATTCTAGGAGGGAGGAAAGACAAAAAATAAAAGGGGGATGCATAATAACTGGGTAGCCACTCTGCTGGAGGAAAGAGAGCACAGATCATCAACAAGAGGAGACGTCTTGTTAATGCCAGTCTGAACATCAAGGAGCCAGACGTGCAAAGGTTAAGGGGTAGAATATCTTACACAGAAGGAAAAACAGAAACAAGATTAGTTTGTGCCAGTGTAGTCACAATCAGTAGGAGGAGCAGGAGGGTGACAGGAGACAGAAGCAGAAGTGGTCAGGGGCTTACCTGGGCATGGTCTTGTGGCAGGGGACAGGGAGAGGGGAAGAAAAGGAAGGGAGAGGAAGAGAAGAGAAGAAAAAACAGAGCGAGAGAGAAGAAAAGGAAGGAAGGAAGGAAACGGAGGAAAATTATGGAATTATCCTTTTAGTGTATATAATTTTCTAATATAACTGAACGATATTTTTTAATTAGAAAAAGACTTGGGATGGATTGAAAAGAGATATTTCACAAAAAATTATAAAATATACTAAAATACTACAGCTAGACGAATAATTCCACGTTTACATTTTAAATCGTTCATCTCCTTTTCTTTCACTTTTCTAACATTTCACTTTACCTTCAAATAATTTCCCCCACTTACCCTACTACCCAGTAAGCCACAACCGGTGGAGCTTTTCTCTGATCAGTCCAGTTTTCAGGCGAGCATTCAAACAACACACCATGTTCTTTCACGGGGTTAAGAGAAGACACTGATTTTGTAGACTCTGAATGGTCTCCACCACTTGGTACTTTCTTTTTCTGTCAAGTAACAGGTATTATTCATATGAACAGGTATTGTCACTTTAAAATGTTTTCACATGTTGATTTGAATCGACTGATTCAATACTTAATACTTAAGTACCTACAGTGACATTCTTCTCCTTAACTGCAGAAAAATGTCTACTCTTCCTCAATTTTTGGTTTAAATACCATCTCCTAAAGGAGACTTCATAAATAAAGTGTCCCCTGACTCTTCTGAGAACTCAAAGATAAAAATCCTGTCGAGACACAGAACTTTCCTGCTGAATGAGCCCCCAGACAGCACATAGCCAATCCACTCATTTTATGGCTGAGGAAACGGGAAGCGTCAGGGCTCAGTTCAGGATTCCTCATTCTCAGCCCAATGTTCTTCCACTTTTTTTTTTTTTTTTTT